ATCAGTGAATTCCACTAACTTCGCCCTGTTTAACTGTTGAATGTATTACTGGGCTTCTACAAAGTGTATTCTTTAGCCTCAGATTACTGTTAATATGAAACAGAATTTAAAGCTGTGTGACCGGGTGTTTCGTACAAAAATGCTCAGTGAGAATCGGATTTCTTCCTGCTGTTGCAAGTCACTGCTCATTAATAACTGAAATTCTGGCATCATGACGCCTTCAGAGCACACTGAAGAAATGCCACACTCACAGGAGAATAAGTGATTCACACATACAGTAGGTGAAGTTTAAAATGTTAATTAATACTAATCAGCCATGCCATTATTCAGATCATCGATAATGAAAACAGCATTTAGAGCAAAGTAATTTTACAAAATATAAAGATAATTAGTTTATTATTCATCATTTATCTCATGAATGATACATTTCCACTTGTATGTTCTCGTTATCATCCATATTTGTTTGCTCACAAAAAAAGGTGACTGTCCAACTAAGTGCCAATTAGAGCCCTTTGAACATAGCAGAAAAAAACAATTACATGCATCAGATATGCTGAATATAAATGATGACTCAAAAGTTATGGCATATTAAAAATCACCAAGTAACAATTTCATTTTGTTTCTGATTAGATTTTTCTCCTGCATTCCCATTGCATTCTGTGCCTGTTGGCCTAGTGAAGCAGTGCACTTTGCTTTAGTTAGTTAGCTGGGGAGCTCAGCTGTCACAGAGGAAAACTGTCTTCAGCTTCACAATATAAAGTAAAAACAAGAACGTTGGACATGTGATTATAACCACATTAAAACAACAATATTAACTTGAGGGGTAGTTATAAATGGAATATGTGTACAGGGCTAGATTTAAAGACTTTATGATTACCAGTTAAATTTGTCACAGAGTTTTGGTGACTTGCCATCGCCCGTAGAGCCTCCCTGAAGGTAAAATCTCTACAAGGTGGAGAAAGGATCACCTGTTATCCGAAGAACATAATTATTTCTATGTAGGTATTACTCATCACCCATCATTTCTATAATGACTAGTTATTGTATGTACCACGATTAAAATCATAAACTTATTTATGGTGGTTGAAGATAAAGACAACAAACAAAAGTTGTGTGTCTATAGCAAGTTAATAACTCAAACTAGGCTACACTGACCACAGCGGTGAACAGCATAATGAACCAGCTATGTATCAGTCAGGTAGCAGAAATTTACTGTTTTTAAATGTGCTTATAAATAAATGGACTTGACAGAAAAGATCTATTTAAATAAAGAGGATTTCAATAGTGTGATTGCTGAATCAGCAATCACTGATAAAGTTTAGATGATTATTATCACTATTTTATTATGAATACGTATGTACACTTATCAGTAACATTATAGGCAACACATTAACATCAGCACACAGTTGTAAAGTAAAAATACCTCACTGCCATGTAGGCTATATACTGTATGAAGGTATATTGGCGTGCCAAGCAAACGCCATATTTGACACAGATTGTCTATGGGTCTGGTACATACCGAAATATGCCCCAGGTTCCTTTCCATTCTCTGGTGTTTTGCCCAAGGTAACTGTCAGTGCCTGGAGGGACACCTCCAGTCCCACTTGAGCTGATATTTTGGGAAGTCTGTGTAGCTCTTTTCCATCCTTATCCTGCCCCCTTCCTTAGCGAGGCGACAGAGATATTTCAATTGATATTTATTGGGTTGAGTAGTAGGTAGGGTTAACAGCATATTCACAGGGTTGCTTCTCTACAAAAGTGTGTCCTAATTTTGGTGGTTTTTTGTCATTTTAGACTATGGCAGTGGCTTTCAGGCCACATTGTTGTCATTCACCAGTTTTAGGGTATTCTCCCATGTTTGTCCATGTTTCCCATTTGAGTGTGGTCACTCGAATAATGTTCATTTTATTTAAGAGGCAATGAATGTTTTTTATGGTCCCAGCCTAGTTTTGACTTTCCTCTATTGGCAAATATGATTTCACTTCTGCTTGCAATGGATCTTTTGTAATCAAATGCACCACAGTTACCAAGCTTTTGTACATCTGAGAATTTTGTTTTAACTCTGTATTTAAAGTGCATTAAGAATTCCCAGAATTGTTATAAATAATAGTTTGATGAAAGTGGTAATACTGGAGCATACAGCAGACGGGGGAAGCAGAAACTGCGCTGTTACTGATGAATTGTTGTCTCCAACACTAAGTTGTACAAGTTTCACTTGTCAAAACTTGGACCAGCAGAGTTGAGACTGACTGTGACTAGTGGCATTGCCGATATATTGTCCTGTGTGTCCATATGCTGTCCACATTTTACCAACATCTGATCACAGTGCAGGCTTGATCATATTTTGATGTGTTTTGGGTCTTTGGATTTAAGATTCAGTCTGAATGGTTAGATGTGCCATTTAATATGTCTCGGAGTGATGTGATGATACATCTGTTGAAAAGATGTTTTACCTGGTTCTGTGGCAGACACTACTTCTGCCAATTCCTTTAGTCAAATATAGACCAAAAGCTGGACTGACAGGTGGAGAGGTGCACCCATGCAGCAGCGGTGATCCTCCTAAGGCAAACAGTTTGAAACAGCAAGTGAAGTGGATATTTTGAGAGAGGAGGCCAGACAGATGTGTGACAGCAGTCAAATGAGTCCACAAAGAAGAGAAAACATGTTCTGCAGCTTGATTTGTTAAGGCTGTGTGGACATGTTCCACTAAAATGGACGTAGGAGTGGACACCAGGCAGAAGAAGAGGGAATGCTCAAGGTTATACACACTACGTTTTGTTCAGCAACAGACAGATTCATTTTGTTCAAATCCTCTTTGGTTTTCCTAAATTCTCTTCTAATTAGAGATGCACCGATTGATCAGCTGGAGATCGGAATTGGCTGATTTTAGCTTGACTGGCCATGACTGGTGACAGTCTGAGATATCCAGTTGTGTGCTGGTCATATTTAGAAGCATGATGGTGCACGGAATGTTGTGTGCATTTCACGATCTTTTCTATCCCGGGCACGTTCACTCACGTATCAGAACTAGCACTTGGTGGACAAAAAGTTCACAGAGGAGCCTACACAAACACCTTGGAGAAGGGAAAACTATCATCCAAAACTCTGACAGATGGCACACAATGAAATGCATGTGTATGCACAGTGGATCTAACCCATGATAAAACGCCAAATAAACACTACACACTTTTATAATGAACTGCAGGTTCAGTGGGATTGATGTAATTCTTCTGTTTCTCTTAGGCTACCTGTTGCACCTAATTACATTTGAATAACTACAAATATTGCGCTTCATATAATGAACTGCAGGTTCAGTGGGATTGCGCTTCATTTGTAGTTGAAGTACATATACAGTACATATTTACCTAAAAGCTGTTCTGTCATAATATTTATAGATAATCAGTCTATAATTAATAGATTAAACCTAACATGCTGCATGTGTGCTGCTTGAGCCCAGTGCCATGTTTTAGGTTGTGTGTTTTGTTTCCATATAAATGTATTTTTCCCACTGTCAAACACAGAACCAATTTGGAGCAGCAGGCTACTACTTTTAAAAACTGGAGATGGTTGTTAAGAGCAGAATATTGACTGTGCAGACTTAAGCACAGCTGGTGTTATGGAGCATTTGATTTTACTGTTGGGTGACAAATTAAAGGAAAAACCAATATCTCAGTAAGGTGTTGAGCCACCACGTGTTGCCAGAACAGTCTCAGTGCACATTGATTCTACAAGTCTCTGAATTCTACTGGAGGGATGACCACCATTCTTCTAAAACAGCTTCCCTCGTGTGGTGTTTTGATGATGGTGGTGGAGACGCTGTATAATCCTTCGCTCCAACATCTCCCATAGGTTGAGATCTGGGGACTGTGAAGGCGTGGCATATGATTCACATCATTTTCACCAAACCATTTAGTGGCCCCTCATGCCCTATGGATGTGAGCATAGTCAATGTGGAGGAGACCACTCTTTTATTCAGGTTTTGCCTTTAATTTGTCACCTGTTTTCATAATTTATTACTTACCAGATGTTGGCACTATATAATAATGGAGGTATGTGCAAAGAACATATGTTACAGTGATATCTTAACAATATCACTAGATATCATCCATCCATCCATTATTTATACCACTTATCCTGAACAGGGTCGTGGGGAGCTGCAGCCAATCCCAGCTGACATTGGCGGGGGTACACCCTGGACGGGTCCACAAGATGTCATTATCTATAATATTATAATGTGAACATGTGCTCCTTATGTCCATACAGATGTCCTTGAATAACTAATGTCTTGTGCAGCCGTAACAGTGGATAACAGCTTAGGTGAGTTTAACTTGACTTAGTCAGCAGCATAATGCAGTGCAGTCCAGATGCTATTATGTTAGGTGAATCCTCACTGGTTAAGGAAATACACACATCGAAGCATCATTTACATGCTGAACCATAATTTACCTCACAATCTCTGTTTTCCCTTTTACTTTAATGGCCTTTCTCTTCTTCACAACTCCCTGAAGATCTTTCCTGTGAAAACATTTGCATGCCCACTCACTCATACACACATGCACAGAGTGGTGTGCGCTGGTGCGGACGGATTCTTTTAACGCAGCCTGTGTCTCTCAGTCGCATTAAAAAGCCAATTTCTTTTTAATAGCAACAACAGCTGGAGCTGACAGGGCTTTTGTCTGCTGATGGAGCAAACAGTTTCTGAGCTGTCCTGCAGCTCAGACCCAGCTGCCTGCCTCATTACAGGAAAAGGAGAGAGAGTGAGATTGTAGAAGGGGGCAGAGGAGAAAGGATGTGCACTCCGAGGCAGGTGTTAGACATGTTTTGGTGCTGTATAATGTAAAACCCCTCAGCAAAGAGTGTGCAGGCTATGTAAGATGTTGAGCTGAAGAGGAAAATTGTTATCATTTGGCATGATGGAGCCATCAAGATGGGTACCTTAGAGCACTGTGTTAACTTACAAGTCACCCATAGTCATTCTGCCACCCTCTTTCCATTTCCTCTGCACCTGGTTGAATCCCAGGAGATGGCTGAATCTGCAAGAGTACCAAAGCAAGAAGCTGATGCAAGAGAGTGGCGTGGCTGTCCAGCGCTTTTATGTGGCCGACACAGCCTCTGAGGCCCTGGAAGCTGCAAAGAGACTCAGTGAGTAGGGGGTTTCACACAGACTAGCACACACACACACCTTTCTCTGCAGAGGAAGGTGCAACCTTTCTTATAGGTACAAATAAACTGACAGCATCTTAGTGGTACCATCTATTATGATTAAATGGGTTCTGGATTTTGTGGTGCCATGTTAACTGCACTGTATGCATCAAGCAACACATGAAGCCTGTTGAAATGCAGAGGAAATTGGGTTTACTTATGGAGCACCTGGCCACATTGTTTCCCTGGGCAAATATTCTCATGCTGTATAAATTTACGCACAAGCTAATTCTTTATTACATTAGTGTTGCTTTTGAGTTAGTTTTAGATTTTTGAAAACTGTGCTTTGGATGTAATTGTGGTGTAATTACAGTGCTGTTCAGTGTAAAACCTTGACAGTCGTAGTTGTTCCGCATTGCTTTTCGGCCCTGCTGCTGGATGTACAACCGGCTGTGCTTAATCAAGGCTGAAGTTTCATCACATTTAATCTTGTCTGTATGTTGTTTGCTTATATGGCAAAGCCTGTGTTTTTTTGGCCTGGGTGGTTATGCCTGTTCGGTTTTTCATCACGGCTCTCATCTACGCTTATTTGTTTCAAAACCTCTCTCATTCAGTTCCTCATGCTTTGCATGCTTTTTTGTTTTAATTTGCTTATTTGTTATCCTTTGTTAATTTGGGTTTTTGCCCCCAAAGTCTTGCATGAAGCCATGTAAGGAAATGGCTGAAAGTTTACTCTTGTAGCACAAATACATTGTACTTGCATGAAGAAAGATGATTTAACTCACATTTGTATACACCCACTTATAACTTTCTCTTCCATCCCCTACATTTCTTGTTTTACTTTCTTCCCACACACACCAAACTGCCCACCACATACAGTGTATATTTCCACCCTCAGCTTTATATTTTATTCAGTGTCCTCCTCGACTGCAGCAGAGGCTTTCTGATAGTGCATCCAGGTTGGTTGTCAGCCAGCAAGGTGCCACTCTTACTGCTGCCTTTGGGCTCCAGTGCCTGGGGCACTGCTTTCTTTGGCCCTGGTTACAATGCAAACATAGACAAACTGAACTGGAGGAAGAGCCTATACATTTTCATGACAGCACCTATATTGTTTAGTAGGGGAAGAAATGGATAGAGGGCTTGGGACCGAAGAGTTAGGAGGGAACAGACAGCTTAATCAAGCCCACATTAGGCTCAAGGGTTGATTTGCTTAACTCTGTGCTTTTTCATTGCAGCTATAGCATTTTCCATAGTTATGACCTCATTATTATTAAAAGTGGCAATACTGTACATGCATGGATTATTTTATTATGTGTCTTGGGACTTTTCTGTGTTGAACTGCAAAATATGTGCAGTGGCAAAGGAACTTTATACAAGTGTTGACTGGAGGTGATTTATCACTGCAGATAGTTGGTGTAATTGTATACTTGTGCTTCAGAAAAATGTGTTTTAAACCCTGTATTAGAACACTTATATTTTGTTTTGCACTCAGTTGCAATGAAATGGACAAGACATGATAAATAGCCAAACACGAGGTGTTAATTAGCAGCAGTGCATTGAAATGAACTCTTCTGTGACTGTGACCACTTACATTATGACTATTAGTGAATTTCCAGCTGAGCTGAAAAAGGGCCGACATATTTTAGCAGCTTGGTTTAGTAAATCAACCCCTGGGTTCCCACAGTGTACTTAAGAGCTGCTTTATCCTCTCAGCTTCATTTATGCATTAAGCTTTGGTCAGTGTCCTTGTACATGTGTATATTTCTCACTGTTGCTGTAAAGCATGTCAGGGAGCATCTCCTAGCACAATGTATCTGTGTACGGGCCGTGCTAGGTCATACATGAATAGGACTGAGAGTGAGAGAAAAAGGGAGCTCAGTAACCTCATTAGTTAAGATCTGTTGTGCTGAAATGCAAACTGAGACTGCCAAGCTCCTACTCCCGGAGGGGGAGGGGGTAGGTGGGTGTGAAGCCAACCCTGGATGGAGTTCTGCTTCATGCCTTTCTACTGTACACGACTTTATGGCTGTGTACAGGGGATGCAGATGGTCAGGGTATCTGTACTGACCGGGAGCCACTGAAATGGATTTCTGTGTGGTGCCGATATCCTCCTGTGAGCCCCTGATTTCCTGCATATACAATAGAATGAACCAGTTAAGCATGGAAGCACAGACACAGACGAATGACATGAATAGGGTAGCTTTCCCATATAAGCAAGCAAACACATACGTCCACTCAAGCATGCAAACCAACCAGTATTTTCATTTCAGCTACACTCACTTAACCATAAAGTGGTTAAGTTGACAGTTCAATTGCAGCTGTGCTATGTAGAAACTCCCCTCACTCCTGTCATGTACTGTGGACTCGACTGGCTTGTGAAAAGTGGACACAGAATGATCGAATACCACTGAGGACAAATAACTTTCTCATTGTAAATCAAAACATAAAATAAATATTTGACACGGACCATTGAATCCCTCTAACTTGAATGACAGCTCTTAGGGGACAGTTCACCCTGTGGCAGATGGGTGACTCACAACCAGCTAATGGCTCATGGAAAGTAGCCTTTGATTTCTGTGGCCCCTTGCTGAGTGAGTCATGTGGGGAGTTATCAGAAAGCCCAAAGTTGTTGTAACGTGTGTTTCGCTGGGATACTGAGAGAATGGCCACTAACTCTTGCTGTCTGTCCAAAACCAGTGACCCAGATCCACAAGTCTCAAGCTTTTGATTCGAGCGTGTGTGTGATAGACAAAGCACCAAACTATAGTTCTGAAAAATAAACTGCTGGACCTTGAATGTAAGTAACATATATTGAGTATTTAAATGTTTTCATTCAAAATGTTAAGTATCAGAATGCTAATTGCTGTCACACAAGAGATTTTATCCATTAATTTTGTCTGGCTGCAGAATTATAATACTTATTAATTCTGCCAAAAATCTGCTACACTGTTCAGGAGTAAATGGGGTCTGAAAAATAGGTGGTTGTTTGTTTTTTTTTTTTTGAGTAATTTAACATATTTAACATTAAGGGTCTTTTATTTGCATTTGCATTTGTGCTTCATTGTGCTCAATAAACAACTAAGAACTTTAGCAAGAATATACTGTATAAAATATCTATATACATATACAGAACATCTGTATCTATAATATAAAATCCAAAATATGTGGACATTTCGCTCTGTGCGTCATCGTGCTCATGAAACAACTGGGAGTTGAGCAAGAGGCCGCTTAATTAAAAGAGCACCTCAGTTCACACACTAATTAGTGATGGTACCCATTAGTCTATAAAATGATAATGTCTTCAGATAGATGGTATAAAATGTAGTAGAGGTGTGAGTAAAGACATGTTGTCAGTTTGTTTTAATGAGTAAGATATTTGGCCCACTGTGGAGCATGAACATCTAATGATGCAGTGCATTCATTCCTGCACCGAGTTGGACAAGAGCATAGGTGACTTCCTATACATCAACTGAGAGAGTTTTGTGACATGCATATGGATTTAAGGTTATCATCTTTGCCTAATCTTTTTCTTTCCCCAAATATATTATAGACAACAATACTGTATACAGTTTAAGTTGATGCAAGACTGAATTGTCGTTTGTTAAGCAGTGTGATGAGTACACACACACACACACACACACACATATACAGTATTTGTACTTATATTTTATATCTAAGGACACTCATTGACATAATGCATTCCGTAGTCCCTTACCCTGACCCTGACCTTAACCATCAGAACTAAATGCCTAACCTTTACCCTAATACCTAACCAAAACCTAATTCTAACCTGAACATTAAGACCAAGTCTTAACCCTCAGAAAGCTTTTTCAGAAAGGACTGGCCAAAATATCCTCACTTTCCAAATATTTCCAGAAAAATAGTTTTTGCTCCTCACTATATAGCAAGTACAAGAACACACACACACACAAACACACACACACATGCAGATATATTTCTCACAAAGGCTTGGTTGCTATCTTGCAGTTTTGAGAGATCAGATCAACCCCAGTAATGAATATAGATTTTGCGTTTGCTTTTGAAGCAGATATCCAGTGCTACAGGTATGTACATTCACACGCGCGTACACATACCTGTGCCCTGCTACAGCCAAAGATAATTTGATTATGCATTCCACTTTGTGTGTCGCCACCCGCTTGACAGATGCATCTGTTGAGCAAATCTTGATAGATTTTCAGTCTGAATTCTAAATCAAAACCGCATTTTCCTTTCCCTTCCTTGCTGTGAGAGCCCTGCATGTCTGCTGTGCCTTACGCCTTCCCCAGCAATCATTCATCGACAAAGCAGCAATGCAAAAAAAGCCCATTGCTTTCGATTCAATCTGTATCTTCATACATGTTGAGCCTGCGTGATGAATGGGAACAACACATAGGCTACTCCTGCATATGTATATCTCTATCAGATGACTCTGGAATATGCTCTCCCTCTTTACTGTTGTTAGCTTCCTGGCTTTTCATTTATAGATTCTGTTGTGATTGTATTTTTCTATTTTTATTATGTCTTGTTTTGACTTTTTAAACTTAATTTCTCACACACATCTTCTTTGTGCTTAGCACATCCTCACTGCCAGAATGACAGTTAATAGAGGTAGGGATGATTTTAATTTTTTTTTTCCACTCACCTATGAATATTCATTGTAAACAGAGCACTTTTTATGCTGGGCTATCTACTCTCCCGTGTCCTTATTAGTGCAATAGTTAGTTTGATATGTTGGCTTACTGAATAAAAGTGAGCTGTCTTGGTATTGGCCAACCTTTTGATGAAGCAGGTGTATGTGTTTACAGGGATACAGATTTGGTTGTGCTCTTTGTTATGGTGTGTGAAGGAGAGGGAAAGAAAGATGTTGTGTTAGATGTGCAGCTTAAAAACCTGACCTCTTTAAGTGAGGCTTAATGAAAATCATTTTTAACTGAAACAAAACCATCCACACATTAAGAATAAGTGTCTCTCAGTTAATTCGCGTCTCCTTTAATTATCCA